TCTCTCTCCATCCCTCTTTCTCTACCTCCCTCCCTCTCTTCTCTAGTCATCATCTTCTTGCCAACTCATTGACTCACATTGGAGCATTTGCTGAAGCTAAGCAAAATAAGAGAAAAGCATACAATATCTATAGGACTAAAGTATGCAGTAATGTTAATACCAGACCATCTAGGTTACTTAACTGTTTTCTCTCACATTTAGTTTGGCCCAGATCATGCATGTACTGTTCAGTCTTATAAAAAATGTGAGGTATATCACTGAAAAGCAAGTCTCTTATGACCAGACTGTAAGTGTAGTTGGCTAACTATTGCCAATGGTTAATTAAAGTTTTTTACCAAAATTATCTTGTTCATATGTTGTCTTCATAAATTATAAATAATTATTGTTTTGAGAAAGAAAAATTTAATAGCAATGCCAAGTGTAACTACTGGTAAACATCCAAATTCACACATGATGCGAATATCAGTAGCCTGAGCTAATTATTATAAACACTTGATCTTTGTATATAGTTACACATACTACTGTATCAGATATTACAGGTACCAATATTGCACACTCAGAAATTTATGTTAATGCCGTCACCATAGTATGAAATTAATGTGGTAGAAATTTAGGTTTCAAAATTTTGTGATCTAATTTTTACGTAGTAAAATTATTGAATATGGCATGTAATTTTATGTGTGATATAAATTAAAGGACAAAGCTGACTATGGCATGGTACAGCTTTCAGCTGTGCAATGCTTTTGCAGATACAGGTCAGCTTGATTTTATTGTATAATTGTTTTCCCTCCACTCACGCCATTAAGTGTACATGTCCTACATCTTTTACCTTGCATGTGTATGCTATGCACCCTAATGCTCAAAATAAATAAATGAATTAATCCAACAAGTCATACAAGGCTTGCCTAAGCTGTGACTTAATAATCACATGCATTCCATGGTGTCTACATGTACACATTTAATATGCGTTTAAGTGAAACTTTGAATCCATCATTTTCTAATAATTATAATTTTGATGAAATTTATCTCATTTAGCCTGAAATAAATTTTGCTGTTCATTCACACTATGACACTCAATTTATGTTAGTGGCATGCACTTGCACTGACACTATATACAATACTTCTCACTTTACTCAACACTATTATGACAATATTTACTGACACAGGCTTGCATTTGCAACTTGCATGAATAAATTGATCATTCTAGAGCCTTTTCTAATAGTAATCAATTTATTTGCTGTCGCTACTCATACTGGTAAATCCTATCAGTATTACCCTATCTTTAATATTCTAGTACATGTACATAGTTAACTTTGAAATAGCCTACATGTCAGTCGATTTTAACTAAAATTTACATTTATTATTACCATACACATTATATGGCGACATATTTTGGTGGAAATGAGTTGTTCTGAGTCTACTCTAATTTGAACATGTACACTTATGCTCCTCCCTTATCTACTGTAGGTTGCCTAAATTTCCTTGCCAGTTTTTTGAATGTTACATCATCTAATCGTTTAGCAGTGCAGAGTCATCATTAACTGTGAGTTAGTAGTAACTAGTAATGATTAAAGTATGCATGTACATTTATAGATTCTGCTTGTACATGTACAAAATTGTTAGTTATTTTCAGTTTTAATAACAGTCCTGCCATTCTCACACCTAGCATTTAATACAGTTACTGTAACACACACATGCAGGTGATACCAGTCGTGGCACACAATATTCTTTAGAGAAATGTTGTAGCAGACAACACTTTGTGATGATTGATATTGATATAGTACATTTTACATTAACATGGCCTACTCTAATAACTGCCTTTTATTTCTCGTTGTTGACTTGTACTTATGATTAATAATTTTTGCTTTTTTTTGTTTTTCTGTATTTTGTAAATGTGGTGGTATGTGTGTGATGTTTGAGAGTACCGTTGTATGTGTGTACTGTAATACCATTGTGTGATTGTGTTGTATGTACCATTGTAATAAAGATGAGTGTTTGGTTACATGTACATGTACATATCTTCTCCTACAGTCCTAGACTTCATATAATCCTTATAGTTCATTAATCTGTTTTATTTCTCTCTTTCTTTTTTGTGTATTTTTGTTCTTTCTGAGTTATGTCCGTTTCATTTTTATCAGCTAAAATTAAACTCTCATTTGGTCTTATTTGATGCAAGTAATTATTATGAAATTGGAGCTTTATGTGTTATTCTTTTTCAAAAGCTAGAATGATAAACCAAAGTAGAAGAATATAAAACATTGAAGGGCTCAGCCCCTGAGCCACTCTATTGTTGTGCTTTATGACCCATCTTACTGCTAGTGAAGTATTTGGACTCAGTTTAGTCTAATCTTGCTGAGCATTTGCT